AGTAGACCCCTAACTAAGCGACGACAGAAGTTTGCAGCGGAAAAGAGGTCTACGGAGTCTACGAATCGCCCTTTGAGCGGCCCGAATCTTACGGTAGGCCCGAACGCCGCTTATAGATCAAATTCGAACTGCAAGGTCAGAGCACGCATAGCGCACACGGTCACGAGTGCAGGGTCCCACAATGACTTGTGTCTCTACGTTGCAGGCGTCTCGTACTCGCCCGCGCCTACCGTAAGATCCCGGCCACTTGTGAGCGATTTGTAGACTTCGCAAGCACCCTTTCGCGCTGCAAACTTCTGTCGTCGCTTACGATTAGTTAAGGGGTTTACTATCACATTATTACCAGAGCCAGATACCCCCAGTCTGGTGGGACGCTGTCTTTAATTGTGGGCAATTGCTCACCTAATGCCTGAGGTGGGCAAAACATCCAATTCGCATTAGTTTCCAAGGTTTCTATATAAATTTGCTCCACATATATTCTAAAGTAACATTTGATTCCAAAACTTCTCCTTTTCTCCTTGTTTGTCCGAAATAGCAACGACGTCTTCCCTTCAGGAAGAAAGTGCTTTAATTGAATAACGCACACAGCTGGCGCATTCAAGTGAGAATCCGTAGAAATAGAAACTGGTATGTGTGAATCTATTCTACAAGTGTCTATTTGCTACCCTCGAGCTGGGCCCTGACTTCGTCCACTTTCGCCCTTTACAAGAATTCTTTCTGTGCAAATGCACAAAGAAGCCGCAAATGGACCAAAAAACCTTTTCAACCAATTCCAAAAAGGCCCTGTCGTCCATTATGCAAGCGCACTCAGTGGCAAAACCTGCTCACTTTCCAGGTTGCTCCAGTTTACACTATCTCCACATTCCGTGCCATTTTTCCTTTTCTTACTCGAGTGGGCGGAGCTTGCTATAAGCTGACAATGAACTTGTATACATCCTCTGATTCAACGAGACTGGCTGCGAAGGCGAAGCTCCCAGGCGTGGTTGAAATGTTCAGAGAGCAATTCTGCGAGTGAAACGCAGACAACGTCGCGGGGGCGAGCGGTCGTCTTTTAGTCGCCAATATGAAGAATGTACAAGGGTGACATTACTGCTTACGACAATCTGCCCGCACCTATAGGTGTATATGGCATGGCACGCCAATCCCGTTGAATCAAAGGGTATGTATACTGCACGCGAATGCATGCATTTGCACATAAGTCCTACGTATAGATGCTCAAAAACGCCTCGTCCCATGAACAAATGGAAGTGGCTTGTCGTCAAAGTGTTAAGTTTCAAGCGCATATTGGCCTAAAGCTCGCCGGCCCATGCCATATACACCTATAGGTGCGGGCAGATTGTCGTAAGCAGTAATGTCACCCTTGTACATTCTTCATATTGGTGACTATTCCAACCGCGGGGAAAAATAACTTTAAAGTTATTGGGAATGCACTGAAAACTAAAAGCTATTTCAACATTTCCTCCATATTTTGTGAAGCTTGGTTCGATTTTCAAAAAACGCGTTCGCGAAGCATGTTTGGAGACAAACTGGTTTCTGCAAACACGCTGCGCATTTTGTGCTCCGTGAAAGAACTTTTATAATTAATACCTCATGCTTCAAACTAAAGATTTGTATAGAACTAAGCGGTTCTGGATTAAATTTTGGTCTGAAAGCACTGAGCCCTTAGTTCTAAAATAGATCATCAAAAATCTAAAAAATTACAAAAAAATCTGGGCCCGTAGTAAACCCCCGAAATATGTCGTGATGTAATGAAACCGAGAACACAACGTGTCCGACTGAAGGACGTGCTGCTCACGACACGTTTTGGTCGCCGCAAAACATACGATCGCACGCGCGACCGAACTCTTCAGTCGTCGTTGACGGCGCGCACTGTCACTGCGCCATAGATTTCATGCTTTATCCATAAGAATCGAACGTAACAAATAGGCAAACAGGGCGGTTGCCTGCAACGTCGTTCGAACAACTTCATAAGCAAGCTTGATTTGTATCAACCTCCATTTGTAAAGTATAAAGGTATGCACTGCTCCACCATGTTCACAATAAAGGCCACTAATGGAAACTAAACAAGGAATGCAAATAGCGCAGCGCCAGTGTCGGACTCCGTTGTCCTATGAGGTGCGAGGGGTAAGGGGTACGCGTCTCGCATGAGAAACAGATTTTGCAAACTGCTTTGCTAGAAAAGTTTCCAAATAAATAAACAAAAATTACTAGGATCTTTCGTAGCATAGGAAAAGAAAGCATGTAACACATAAATTATCGCAAATGCACTAGATTGAAGTACTGTTATAATCACCACTTCAGCTATTCCATACATAAGCTATTCTATTAACCATGACGCCACACGGTTCTCTCGCTCAGATAGAAAGAGAAACGCTAGGTACACAGTTAATGAACAGCAAGTTGGAAAACATACGCCATACAAGACTAATGGCAGATATAAGAAGATTATGACGTGGAGAAAAATTCTATGACCAGATGGAATGCAGTGCGAGAATAACAAGAAAAAATGGCTAGATCACAAGAAAAGGCACTTCTAATTTATATTTTGTGAACGAAATAAACTCACCTTTTCAAATTTTGAAGCATAGTACAGCGGAAATTATCAGAATACGGAAACTTGCTGAGCGGGTCGACATTTGGGCGCCTATCAGCTGTTGATATCGATTGCACTTGGCGTGCGTTGAGCCTACTGCTGTGTATCTACGGTCCTTGCACAAGGTCGCGAGCTCGGCGTACTCGACCCCTAGTCAGTTGCGCCTTCCTGCGTTTCCACGCTGGGCCCACTATTTTTACTTCTCTGTTCCTAAGTGACAACGTCCACGACGTGCTCGTCCTCTGCGCGCGAGGACAAGCACGTCCTGCAGTCGCGACGTCCCGCGATTTTGCAGCGCGGCTGTGATAAGAGATAGGCGCGCGACGAAACGCGGCAGAAACGACACGTGCTGGGTACGTGCGATGTTTCGAACGTCGCGACCCTCACGACGGGGGGATTACTACGGGCCCTGAAGACATGTTTATTACAATCTACGTAAGCTGCCTTTCCTAAAAGTACAAATTTTGGTGCGCGTGTGATGCTGTAGTGGTGCTTAATCTTTCCTATGAAAACTTATTATTTGTGAAATGCATAAAACGCAAAAAAATTATTTCGCCGTTTCTTTCATTTTGCTCGTAAATCATAACTTTGCAAAAACTCGATATTAGTTCAAATTTTGGAAAGCAGCTTACATAGATTGTAGAAAACATGTCTTAAGTTTTTTCTGCAGCATTTCACATCCTTGACAATTTATTTTGGAATATCGAGAGTCAGAGTGGTTCTTTTTCTGTATTTTTAGCTTAAATAATAATTTCCTTTCTGGTAGAATTCAAAGCAAGCAAACACTTTTACATAGGAAGCATTATGATTTTTCAACTATAGTGACAGAACTTTTGATTCAACCGAATTTGAAAACATTTGATAATTTCTAAACGAAGCGATCTATTCTCTCTTCAGTATTACACCAGATGCATGCATTAATGTTGGCATCCATCTGCTCAAACATACATGTGCTTCAGATTTACCATCGTTCAAGTGCTTCAACAGACACCATCCACAACGCAAATGACGATTAATGTCTACCAATCCTAAATCCTCTCGTGTTGCTGATCAGCTTTTTAATAAGATTTTGTTCAGTTCAGTCGAATTTCATCTGCTATGGTTGACCAAAATTTGAGTGGGAATCTTGTGTAGTTGCTGCTGTTGAAATTTGAACTTTGCCCAATTAAACTTTGAATATTGACTGGACAGTTTCACGAGGAAATGCTTTTAGGTCGAATTGGCTTTTTGAACGTAATCTGTAACGTTGAATCTGCGCGACTGAACGAGACTCTGAGTCATGAGTAAAGTATAGTAACTATAGTATAGTGACTATTGGAGCCAAAAAAGCACCTAGGTGAGTGAATCGTTTTGGTCCCATCTGCTCAAATACAGCCGTGTTGAGTATCATTAGACAATAGGCATATTAATGATAAGTATATTGGTATTATATTAGTATTTGTTATTGACACTAAACCAGTTGAGCTATTTTAGAGGATTTTGTTCAAATTACGCACCTTACATTTTCCCAACTGCAAAAACATCCATAATTCAGACTTAGATTTGGCAGATACAGAAATCGTCTTCATAGTGTAGATCTCATTCGGAAAGGCCACTTCGACTAACGAATTCCCTAGCCAATTTCTAGAATTGATGAAAATATGGTGTCATGGCCGCTTGTATCACACGGTGAATGCACTGAACGTAATGACTGAGACAGCATGACTACATGGCCCCTCTTTATTCTAGTATAAAAAATGGAGCTGCCGGTCTTCTTGGTGTTCGAGATGTTTCCATGGCGGCCAAGAAAAAGTATCGAGATTTTCCGAGATGAAAAATAACGAGCATTCTTCTAAATGGTGGCAAATTTATACGGAGGCAGTGCATTCTCTTCCAGAGATTTCGCTATTACACAATAGTGAGTCATCTGTGAGTTAGTCATTGTGTTTTCATTTTTGTAGAATCACTGTATCATGGGACTGATTGATGGCTGCATCGCCCAGACAATAATCGCGACATAGCAGTAAGTTACTCCTCGTCTGCATCAGATTATTTTCGGGTATTTGGAACTCAATATGTGAAGCACACTATGCGCGGCAACCGGTAAAACCTTTTCCAGCGTTACACATCGTAGAGATGTGTACTTGTAACTACATATCTAAATCAATTCGAAAGGGAGTTGGGTACAAGGAGAAATTACTGGAAATGAACAGTTCAAAATTTTACGAGTCGTTAAACAGCGCGCATGGTGTGCAATACGACATTATACAAATGGCTTGACGATAAAATGGAGTATATCGGATAATACAACGGTGTGCAGCTTAGCAGTCGGCAGAAACAGCGACAATGATAACGATTTAATCGAATTCCGATTTGTATAACACTTGAATGGATCAAACTTATTGCTTTACAAACCAAGCTTGCAGGTAGCTACGTCTATTTTATTCGTGGATTTCGGATGTGATCCTCCTTTGCACCTAAAATACATTTTTTCAGAACTATTATGTTATTGAGGCAAAAGATCTAACTTACTGGCATTGATATCCTCCACTGCATTCCTTATTGTGCACTTGCACACAACTTCCGCTTTCTCTTCCTTTGCATTTTTGGCAGTACTCAGCACAAGATTTCCATAAAATACCAGTAGCAAACTTAAATTATTTTGAATTTAGAATCTCAAATGATAAGCGAGAGTAAACTCAAAATCATATTTGTGTGACAGAGACACAAAAACATTAAATGCATAAGTCACTGACATTTTATCAGCTTTGAGCGTTGAGATTCAAACTCGGTACGCGATAAGTAGGTTGCAGCAATATAAGCTAATTCTATAATGAATGCAGAGCCAGAAGATTTAGCGTTTAAGAAGATTTTCTCCGCGTTTTTCCCTTGCTTCTTCAGAACCCTATGAAACGTTCCTACTGAGCAAATTCACTCTCATGTTATCTGCACTGTGGTCGCTCATTTTGAGCTAACTGAAGAAGATTATACATGGTTCGCTTTCCAGGTCAAGAAACTGTTGAAGAAATATGCGCAAAATCTACACCATTTTTATCGTATGCGTTTTTCAGACATGGGGCACCGGGCTTATTTGAAAAATGATTTTAAAGTCCTGAGTACTACAGTGTAACGGCAGCGCAGCTGATTTGTCCACAAGGAATTCATCTTCAATCATAATTACAGTACGTAATCAGTGGGGACTTTCTTTATCGGTGGGAGCCAATGATAGCAATTTTTTGTGAGACTTCCTTTATCGGTGGGAGCCAATGATAGCAATTTTTTTGTGATTTTGCCTATTCATGCTTCAGCATCTATACGTGGGGTCAAGTGCCCAGATAGCACAGCGCTTTCGAGTACTGGCACAGTGCCATCGGAGAACTTCCAGTACCAGTCGCGATTAATCTCCGTTGCTTCTACCTAGCCGAAACTTGCTTTTCTGCCTAAAGAGTGTTTTTGTGAAAAGTTTTATCTTTCGAGCTTTTTTAGGACGTCGCCGATTTTGCTGCTTGCACGCGGAGTTCTTCAAAATGACCCTGGCGGGGTAGACGCACGAATGCGCTGTGCTAGCACGGCGCTGGCTGGCGCTACTGAACAAAGCCTAAGCTTTGACGTCCAGCTACTTCAAGTATCAGAAATATTTTTTACGACATGATGTACAAAACTGCTATTTGGCCCAAACTAAGTGCTCAGAAACACTAATTTGCAACATAGATAGCAAATACCAGCGTAGACCATATTGAGCGTAGACCAGCGTAGACCATATCTCTTGCACACAAAGCTAGCGTAATTCTCACAAGGGAAGGATACTAGATCGTAGTGGCGAAGCGAAATGATATGCACATCATTAGGTGCGTCTTGATGAGCTGATTCCAAATCTACCTTTCCCATCTGCTACGACCTTCTCCAGAAGAAGCTATGGGCGTTCAAATGACATTGTTGGGATTCTGATGCCTAATGCGTTTTAAAAACTAACTTAGAAGTGATCACTTGGCATGCTTTTGGGTACAATGACTACAACAAATACATACATACACCGAACACATGAGTAGGCGTCTTCAAACTAGTAGTTCTTGAAGATATGGCAGTGAATGTTTGCTAAATTTGGACATTCAAACGCCCACAGCTTTTTCTGGAGAAGCCCGTAGCAGATGGGAAAAGTATATTTAGAATCAGCTCATCCAAACGCATCTAATGAAATGCATATCATTTCGCTTCGTAACTGCGAGGTATCCTTTCCTTGTTAGCTGCGATGTTGAAATTCTACAACAATGGCTGCATTGCAGCTTACATCATAATCTTTACCAAAGAATGAGCGCCGCATTCGAAAAGATGTAAGTTATAATAAACTGCTGCGCATTCCTTATTTGTCACTTCAATATTTTGTATCTATCTCAAGCTCGCAAAAACGTTTCTGCTTAGGTACTTTTCACATATTTCTTTGTGTAAAAAAACAAAGGGCTATCACTTGCTTTTTTGCATGAAAAAAATAAGAACAGAGAGAATACGAGAGAGCTTTTTGCCTCAAATGAACTTACCGCCGTTTCAGGTGTACACCGACTCCAATTATCGAAACAGTTACTACATTCTGATAAAACAAGCAGTGTAGTAAATAGCAAAGCAGTAAGCATGGTGCGGTTCATGGCGGACGATGTTTGGGATTGACCGTTTTGGTTGTGCGACGAGGAGATGTGAGTAGACGTTTATTCGATAGGTACCAAACCCCCCATGAGAAAACGGCAGCTTCTTTTATATGCGTGCTGAGAGAAGAGTGCCATGAGAAGCGAGGAGTGCTCATTACAATTCTTCATGCTACCGTTAAGAGCTTGGTAGACTTGATGCTAGTGTTAGCTACTTGTAAAAACATTGAGAATTGGTTAATGTTTGAATGTTAATAAGTGACAGCATGGCAGAGCATTAGCGAAACACCAGGCAAAGTTATTAGCAAGATTGCGGGATGTACAGCTGATTCATAGACTAAGGTGAATTGTTAATAAAGCTTAAAAACAGTTACAGCTAAAGCCAATATTTTGTAGAATTACAAAAACTCCTCACGAAAAAGAAGGTAGATATCGTCTAATAGCGTTTGTAGCGATAGCGATAAGTTGTTCGAGAGTATGCGACATAGAAGTGACAGAGGATAAAGGCGAGTACAAAGAAGGCAAGTGTTAGTAAAAAGAACTTGATAGGATAAGCAAAAAAATCAAATAGTCGTTTTGGATCGAAGAGATGTTCTGAAAGAGTCTTAAGGTATGACACGTCTCTAGAGATGTTCTCAGAGATAGCTTTTGCCATCGTGTCGTGATTATCGATTCGTCCTCGATATATTGCAGATTTCCTTGGATCTTGATTTCTTGGACATTCGCTGGGCATGTTATCTTGCATTTTGTGTCGATAGTGGAGGTGTTAAAATGGAAGCGTAGTTTGTTGGCATGTCCTTCGTCGGTGCAACAAGCTATCTGGTTTTGTTCTGAACAAACGATATTAGCTAAAGTGTTTTTGGAGTTACTTTTGCAAAGAAAGGTTATTTCAGCTCCAGTTCTGCAGTTGTAACATCCTTCGGCGTCGCTGGTTGTTGTTTCACATGAAGCATTGGTTTGTTGCGAAACGATCTTCATGTTATCTGCAACTACATGTAGTTGTAAGATAGAGCCAATGCGAGCCTTAGCGTATAGGTCTTTGCCCTTCATGAAGATGATGTAGTTTTTGGAGACTTCCGGAAGTGGTGACCTTTTCATCAATTTGCCCATGTTTCCAGAGCTACACACACACATGAGCCTGTCTTTACTGCAGTTGAGCACGAGCATGCTCTTGTGGAAAAGACGCATTCAAAGGATTTTGCTTTCTTGAGAGAGGAGCATTGTAGTTGACCAGCTCTTCGAGGGGTCAGTTGTCCTGAGTAAGCCGGTTGAATGATTGAAGTACGTCCTTTCGTTGCCATGAAGAAGGAGGAAAGGATAGGTAATTGTGGAGTGGTGGTGCTTATGGGATTGAACTTGATGTTCTTCCATCAAATCGTCTGTCCTGGTCGGAAGGTTAGAGTAGTAGAAGAGCTGCTGCTAGACTGTTCCAAGGTTATTTCAGCATCGACTACAGTTTCCCAGCTGGGACACCTGAAGATCTCGTAGATTTTGGAGCTCATTGGTTGGGCGTGAATTCGGTAGAAAAGACAACTCGGTTGGCACATGAAACAACCGTCGCAGGTGACGCATCCACAACTTGAAGCACAGAATGTGTAACCAGGGTTCTCATTCGCTAATCTTGAAATTTCTTGAATTTTGGTAGTAGGCGTAGTGTCTTCGCAGGCGCGCTCGGTGCAACTTCCAGCGAGATAACAGCGATGGATGGATTCGGAGAGTTTTTGATGATCTCTGGTGTAAAATTGTACATCTTTGTGGCATTGAAAGTTGATGTCTTTCACTTTGATGGATAAAAGTCCGACTGGCTTGTTGTGGTGGGTCTTGAGTGTTAGGCAGGATTCCTGATGTAGTGGTTGTAAAGCAATCACTGTAGCTTCGTTGAAGACGCAAGTTTGTTTTCCTTCACTTTCAATGCAGGTGTTTTCTCTTGCACTGATAGATGTAATCTGAGAGCATCCCAAACTTTGAGAGATTTGCAAGCAAGTTAAGGTTAGGCATGGGAAAATGCTGCGTTTATGTCTTCTTCCTGCTCGTGTAGGTCTGTAGTCTTCGGCGTCTGCAAATGATGCGGAATACTTTGTCGAGGCAGCAAACTCGATAAAGGATGATCTTCATCAAGCGTAGTAGACAGCATAGGATTTTGATGGTCACGTAAATCCATAGCGGGAGAATCAAAGCGCATAGTATAATCACCGTTGTTTGAATCAAGGTCCAACATTGTGTGTTGTACAGTCGTTCCCAGCAAACTGTACATCGCATCGTTTCACAAATGGGTTGAGCGGGACAGAAAAGTTGTAGCTCTGCATCGAGTTTCTCTCCAGACCAGATTTTGATGGTAACCTTGTAGTCGTACATGGTGAGAGAGTTAGGAAAGGGGATGTGTGATGAATCTTTGTCTCGCTTGAAGACGCAGTACTGATCGATACATGCTTCTGCTGCTCCTTTGCTGCTGCTTTTACTGAGAGTTAGTCCTCCCTTTGCGCAAGAAGCAGAGGAGGCTGTCGCGTCGCTATGTTGAGCCTTTTCAACGATAGCATCGTAGAAGTCTCCGATGATGTGGATGAGGATGTATACGTAGAAGGAAATCCATAGTATATCTTCGTGGTGGGGCCCCAGGCTTTGAGCGGTATTGCATTACGTTCTGAATCTGCGTTGATGAGTAGTAGGGCGATTGGGTTGTCGTAGAGGCAGAAGAGCCTTGCATGTTTTTTGCATTTGTGTTTCTTGCAGAACTGGGAGGTGCCAGTGTGCTATTGCTAGCAGGTTGCTTCGTTCCTTTGCGGTCGATGCACAAGAAGTCTTCTCGGGTCAGGTAGTCCTTTAGAGTGACTGTCAGGTTTTCAACCAGGAGTAGTGCGTTATCAAATAGTTGCACTTGATTGAATGTCCCTGCTCTTTTGATGGGACTACAACTTTCGTTGCGTTGAAATGAGCAGACAAAATCTGGTCGGTAGTTGAGAAGGTGTTGTGGTAGCGCTTCTTTTCTCGATTTGGTCGTGATAGGACCAGTATGAAATGAACACGATGAAGTCCAGCCGGGGCAACTGCATTTTTTACCGCATAGTGTTGTGTCGGAGTTCGATGCGCTAGAGTATGGCTTCCCGAAACGTATGTGTCCGATAGGACAGGAAACTGGATAGTAGCAAACTTTTCTGTTATGCCTTGCAACGGCAATGCCATTCGACCTGCAGTTAGTGGCATATAGGATGGTCTTGGGTGTGTTGAGTTCATCTGGGCATCTGAGAGCGGACGAGGATGCAGTTCCGAAAACAGCCAAAAGGCAGAAGAGCATAGCCGTGTAGACGTGAGCTTGTGCTCGTGATCGAGTAATCATCGGGTGACGTGATGGCGGGGTGCATTCCTTGAGGAAGTCGTCTTGGTCCTGCTATGTGTTGATTCGTCAGTGTCCACCGGTATCTCCAATTTGTGAATCAACGAGTCGGGGCGAGTGATGATGCGTTGCGAAGGGAGTTGTATTTGGGATGATCGCTGATACTCGTCCTGTGAACCGATCACTCTTCCCATTTTCCATTGTCCGCGATCAATGTAGAATCTTGTACCAACACAATTTCTCCGTACTTTGGAGTCCCTGTTGAATGGGATCTGGGAGTCGTAGGTTCCGTTTTGTACTGTTCTCGCATAGTTGTAAGATATTCTGTGCTCCATCGAGTCCAAAACGTGGAAACTAAGTCAGATGTTCGATTCCACTCGGCGAGCAGAGTGTCCCTGGTAGTTGGGAAAGGTGACCATTGGTCTTGTGATTCGGTTGGATAAAGACCACAGAGTCGAACATGCTGACGTAGAAAGTCGATGGGGCGCAGAGGCTGGAAGGAAATTTCGTCACTGTAGTATGTGAGCGGTCTCGTATTAACTATAGCTTCGACTTCCTTTGCCAAAGTTCGGATTTCTTCAATGTCGAGTCGGCGATTGGCAATAGCGTGCCGGTATGATTTTTTGAAGATGTCCACCATTTTTTCGTAAACTCCACCTTGCCATGGACTGAGGCTGGGTATGAATTTCATCTGGATTCGGTGGTTGGCACAGTAATCTATGATGTCTTCGTCAATGTCGGGTACTGGCAGTGAAGAATAGCATTGGTTGATTGTCTTGAAAGTTTTTGCGTTGTCACACAGGATCCATCTTGGACACCCGATAGTGGCGATGAAACGTCTTAACATGTGCAGTACCGTGACAATTGTCATGTCTAGTATCACGTCTACGCAAACTGCGCGACAGTTTAGACAAGTGAGAAGCAACATCCAGTATTTTTCGTCAGTGTTGGCGTTGGTACGGTAGGTCAAAGGAACAAAAAAATCCATTCCGACGTTTTCGAAAGGATATTGCGGAGGAGTTACTCTTCGTTCCGGATGTGCGGGAAAAGGAGGAAGAGTAAATGGTTTGGATCGAAACCTTTTGCAGTGAAAGCATTCGTTGTGGATAACCCTTTTCACTGTGGCGCGTTGGGTATCCAAACTCTCTGTCTCAAAAGCGTGAGGGTGTGATTTACACCGGTATGATTGTTCATTTGATGGACATGTAGTATGTAGAGAATAGTTATTCGACTTTCACGAGGAAAGAAGATTGGTGGATGGCTGATGTTGGTAAGTTGGCATGCTCGATACGTCCATGAGATTTCCACAGCAAGGTTTTTTTCACAAGTGAAAAGTTATGTTAAGTTATGCCAGAAAGTTATGCCAGTTATGTTATGTTATCTTATGTTATGTTAGTTATGTTATGTTATGCCTAAAAGTTATGCCAGCGCTACGCCAGCATTTCGATCGATACACGTTTATTTCGTTGGGGCGGGGCTAGCTGACGTCCCCAAGGAAATACACGTGTATCGATCGAAATGCTGGCGTAGCGCTGGCATAACTTCGGCACTCTGGCGGGAGCCTAACGTTTCGGCAGATCGCCTTCGTCAGAGCCTGTAAGGGACAATATGATTTGCATCCAGTTTGAACTGGTACCTCCACAGCTGAACAGACGAAGTGCTAGACCTCTTTTCGATCACTAGTTCAGCTGCACGGTCAAGCACGTGCCTCTGGATTACGCCGATACTCCTCTTCAAAGGAAAAGTTGGGTCACGTCGTCCGGTGATAGAGAAAGTTTGACTTGTTAGACGTGCATGCAGACCGTTACTTATATACTACCAGATCAGAATAACTGATCTAGATAAGGAGAAAGTTCATGCGTAATTGCTAGGTTTTTCTCTTTTCGGTTCATTCTTGGGTTTCTGGCATGAATCCAGAACGCCAGATCAGAATAACTGATCTAGATAAGGAGAAAGTTCATGCGTAATTGCTAGGTCACTATATAGTATTTCTTAGTGAGCACGCTACATTCATTGTTTCTTGTTATAAAGAACTCTATCTTTAATTGTCTCCCTACACATGTCATGACAAACATAACACATCCAGGCTCTTTAGGAAAGCATAATCCTGGGCTTATAGCTCTGAGGATTCGATGAACATCAGGTCAGTCTTGATTTTTGTTTTGTCTACAAGGAAATTGAAAATTCTTGGTGCCCTTAATGGCACAAGATTTAACACCGAAAGAAACAAAACTGTAACTGTACTGTAATCAAGCACTTCAAAGGACGAGTTTCTAAAGTACCCCTACAATTTACAAATATAGCTGCGAATAAGCTTTGAAGGCAGGGTCCAGGCAAATGTGGACATATGGATATCTAACGTGGATAGTAGTTTTGGGGCCCTAACTAAGCCACTGTCCAAGGCAGCTCGGGTAGTGCTTTAATGGCTAAGATATTCTCCTCGAAACTGGACCCCACGATCGCATTTTACATGGATTCATGGCGCGAATCATTCGCGTGAGTCCTCGCGCGAAAATGATGGGTTGCGCCATGAATCCTGCAAAATACGATCCTGAGGTTCCGGTTTGAAGACGTATATCTCAGCCGTTAGTGAGTCACCTGCGCTGCCGCTTGGACAGTGCCTTAGTTAGGGCCTCAAAATTGCTATCCACGTAAAATCCACTTAGCTCCAGATTTGCCTGGACGCTTCCTTTAAGTGCTACTCCACAGTGAAAGAAACCCTCCCCCTTCCCCCCCCCCCCCACCCCTTTGCTCCCTGGAAATTTCGCGAAAATTTTGAATGCCATTATGAATTACAAGGTTGCGTAAGTGCTTGTTTTTGAGGTACCGCGTCTGTTAAAACTCTGCAAAGCATGTTGACAACGTTTTTAAGAGGAGTTACGCCACTACTTCAATTCGGAAAAGCTTTTGCTACCTTTCCTTCCCACAGAATTTTTTCACCTGTTAGTTTGTCCAAAAAAAGAATTAAATTGCGTTTTTTGACCGATGCATAAAACGTCTAATAGGAAATACAGTGTCCCAAAAAGAGGTGCACACTGTTCAATCGTTAATAACTCTTTTGCTTTCATGTCTTTTGGCGAGTTTGTGGTATCACTCTGTGGAGCGAGGTTCAGCTTAGATTTATAGTACGGAGCGAATCACCAATCGCTCTTCATTACTGTATGATCTCGGTATGAACTTTCAGCACACATCGTCACTATGGATTAGGCCTTTTGATGAAATAGATTCAAAAAGTCTGAAAATTAGTATAGCAAGGTTCTCAGGCGTATTTCTCTGCATAACTTTTCACCAGTCTTCTGAGCTTTCTTGATGGCGTATTCACATTTCTGACGAACACTGGGAAAACAGTGTTACCCTAAATCTGAGATAACTTATGAAAGAAGCCCTATACTGAAATGCAATTTTTATATTTAGAAGCAACGACTTTTGAGGCCAGTACAAATGTTTCTAGCTTGTTTGGTTTTCGTTCTAGGGCTGATCACTTTCGATGGCTTAAAATCTTCCTCGAAGTTCCTACCGTAATTTCACAGTAAAGAAAAAAGATTGATAATTTGCTCCATACGGCAAATCTAATGAGGAAAGCTACTCAACTCGGCCTTTTGACAAGGGACATATATTTCTTGAATCAGCTTTGAAGCAGATTCCAAATATGCTATTCCTAGCTGCCGCGCGACATTCCGAAGCGAGTTATAGACTTTTTCCTCCACAAAATTTGATACTACTGAACGTGGAAAGACTGCGTGTAGATAAAAATTTGCGAGAAAAAGGTGCTGAGATAGATATGGTCCGTTAGAAGAGTGCCGGGTGAAGGGTGGGTGAGACTATGATGGGAGTGCTCAAGTAGACGTCTTTTTGCAATGGTAAAAAAGCCTGTACTTGAGCACTCCTATTATAAAAGTCTCACCCACCCTTCACCCGGCACTTTTTCTAACGAACCCCAGGCAAGGTATATATTTTCTGAAAGCGGAGGACGAGACGGTTTCAATGATGACCATCATTGCGTACAAGATGTTCATCTACAGAAGTTATGAATTTTTTTAATGTTAAAAACTCAAAAATCTCCAAAAATCACTGGAACACCCTTCACCAGGCACTTTTTTCAACAGACTTCTCCTTTTCTATACATAAACAATTCACGTACAAATATCTTCTTTGCTTGACCTTACCTTACTATTGATTATTTTTTTCGGCTTTTGGTGAAGGGGTCACCTTGGTCCTGGCTCAGGGGAGGGAGGGTGAGAAAAATCTCACACTATCGCATTAGTGCTATATAGTGAACAGAAATTTGTTTCGAGGTGATATAACTTCTACTACAACTGCATGTTCTTTCAAAATAGACCCGTCATTTGTGAAAAATCTCTGAATAGAATGGAAGCAATAGTGCAACATATGAGTTTTACAATCAAGAGTGCATAGTGCCTCTCAGTGTGGATCTTTGCGGACCGAAACCATGAGCAGCGCAAAAAGAAAAAATAACTGGCATATCAACATACTTTTAGTAGCACGAACTCGGACCACGAGCTTTGATTTGATAGCCGTTGTTTCTGGCTTCATACCAGTAGCAGTGCAAGCTGTCGGATTTATCGAAAAAATCAACCAAAATCGACATTTACTTTTTACTATCCCAAGCATTTGGAGGTATAAGAGTTCTCAAACAGTTTGAATCTGATTACGCCTTCAGATGCACTACGAATTTTGCAGGAAAAGATGCAAACGAAGTGAGCTTGATTACTTAGCAGTTGACTCTGCACCGAACTCGGATAACAGAAATTTCATCCGAACACGAATTTAAATAAAACATTCGAATACATTCACACGAATATTGGAAACTAAGTTTTTGATTATTCGAGTTCACAAATTTTATTACAAAACCCCGTTTTCTGTTTGTTCGAGTTTTGTGTTTTATACGGAAAACTCCGAGGTTCGCATTCCTAATGCGAACATGTCTAAGGTTAGTAAAATAATCAAATCTCGATTTGGATCCAGGTAAATCGTCGATGTGTTAATTGATAAGCCTAAAGACGTACCTCGCGCAATCTTAGACACAGCGCGCTAGCGGCTGCAACCACTTCAGTTGGGAAAGGGGAAAGGGAGTATTAGAGGTTTTTTGGCGATAAACACCTGGATGAATCGCGCTTGGGCAATGACTTAGCCAGCGCCTTCTAATTAGCATCCACATAGAACGGTGTACGCATGCTTATTTAAATATTGCCTCTGAGATAAAAAGTCATTTGAAAGAGACGGTAATAGTGAGAAAAGGTCATATTTTATTTCTAAGCCATGATGAGTAATATGGCCAAGGTATTTATTGTTTGATCATGATCATAGTTCACATTTGTGGAGTGATAGAGCTTTATTCAAGTTTTATATCGAATGTGGATCATAACACAATTGTGAAGTGTCTTACTTTCGAGATCATAGTCCAAATCTACAGGTAGCGATATCAATGGGATTTTTTGATTTAGCATGTCCTCCTCCAGTGCACCTGTAAGCAACGAACATTTGAAAAGATTGAATACAGATGGAAGGACTTACTGGCATTGGTATCCACCGCTACATCTTTTGTTGAAAACTTTGACGCAATGTCCTCCTGATCTTCCCTTACATTTTCTGCAGTATTCAGCACATGATTTCCACAAGATTCCCGTGGCGAACTGTAATAAAATGTAAGCTTTTGACTAAAATCTTTCTTTTGTGGGCAAAAATCGAAGGGAGATTTCGCAACTGCCTTGCTATTGTAGAGGAAGTGTAATATGACTACTTACAGCTGTTTGTGGTGTGCAGCGGCTCCAATTTTTGTAACATCCACATTCGGACTGTATAACCAAGGAGAGCAATAATAGAATGGATAGGGCAAAGCTGTTCATGGTGTATGATTTCTGCAGTCTGCCCCTGAATTTATATCGAGAATTGCGATTGTTTTGTTACACTTTCACGGTCTACTCAACGGAGCTCACGTCGTGATAGCTAAACATTTGTTCAAAAAAAAAACTCAAAAAGTTTAACATGACGAGTCCGCATCAAGATGACTCAGACACTTCTCGTGATATAGGATTAGCGAAGAATAGGATGGAATGTCTTGTTCGGTGAAGTCGCAAAAAAAGTTTCAGCTTTAGCTGGAATAAAGGTTGAAAGTGATGATGGAATGAAGTTTGCGACGAGTAGTAGATGTACTCAAATGAGACGATTATGTTTTATCCATGACATGAATCTAGTGCCATAAAGCTGACTGAGATGCGATGCTCGCAAATTGGAAGCAAACTGTCTTTTTTATAATATTTGCAAATGATATGATTTGTTATCTGTGAATGTGGTTTATTGGAAAAAGATGTTCCTGCAGTCTCTCCTCTTATTTCAAATAATTTGAAACTTAGCAGTTAGCATCCGACAATTATCTAGAATTTCAAATCAAGCTTACAATTCGATTGGAAAATGGCAGCAAAGGTGTTAGTAAAGTTTATTTCAAAAATTATCTGGTTATGCAGTTCCGAAGTACAAAGCCGAACATGTGTAAAGTACGTCACGTTAAACGAGAAATCATCTTTGATCGAAGAATTTTGGACAATCTGCTAAAACCTGGCAAATCACCTGCTCCTAGAGTTTGTTTTCATCCTGGGCTTGACACAGGTTGACTTTCAGGGTCTTTCGAAAGAAAGTTTGCATTTACCGTAGCTTTACAAAGTTATCGACCCTTGTGAAGTCCCTACCAACTTCACCTTAAGGTCTAAGTATGTACTACGACCGGTGGAACTTAGGAAACGAGAAAAAACATAAACAGATTTCAAGGCCGTCATAAGATGGAAAAAGAAAAACATGACGAAAGGCGAAATAAGACTTAGACATGTTTGTCATAAGACTTTGAAGAGACGTATATAGAAGGCAGAGGATTGATATCCAACAAAGCAATTTTAAATGCAGAGGACAGGAAATGCACTGACTCTTCCTTTTAGCTGGAAGATAGATATCCGAACGAGGGTAAAGTCCACAGTAAGTTATTAAAATAATTTCTAACGTTTCTGCATCGGGTAGGTCCTTTGTTCAATGAACGACCTCCCAAAACTGATTTGATTTGGAGCACAAAAAGATATCATTTACTTTGTTTCAAGTTTTGAGTGCTCTTTTTCACATACTATTGTTCATAGGAATATTGTAGACATGTGGTTCAATTTTTGTGTCATGCGATAGGCTGTGCGATGTCAACAAGCCATTTGTTTATTTTAATTACTCTTCGATTTTTTATTTCGAAAAAGAACACGTCGGAGGATTTCAATTATGTAGTAACTTGAAAGAGATATCCACAATCGTACGGCTTGCAAAACTTGTGTAGCTTGAAAACAAAAGCATTATACATCTCAGTAGTTTTTCCTGTTCTGAGCCTGAAAGCAAAGACGCATTGATTTCATTGTGTTATCTCTAATTCTGAGTTTAATCTCAGAATTTTGTTTAAACGTTAGCAAGAGCCTTGCTTTTTTAAAAGAAGAAATCAAAATTATAAACGTCAATTGAGATAATAAAGCAATGATAAAGTATTGTCCGCGTTTTTTTTTCGCAGAACGCGGTAATGCAGCTTTTGCAACCGTTATGACTTTTGAACTGTATGGAGGGTCGCATTCTTCCGACTGCTTGACAATAAAAAATCATATGTGGATTTTAATTGATGCTTTTTCGATCAATGAGATTGTTCGCACTGCTATTGGCACCAAATTAGCAAAGAAGCTATCAAATACAAGCTCATGTTCCGAGTTCATATATTGAAAATGTTTTGACATGCCTGTTTTTCTTCCTTTGGATTGCTCATGCTTGTAGTACGCAAAGCCCACACTAGTGAGCACTCTTGCTCGCATAAGTTATATTGCACAACTGCCTCTATTCGCTACCTTAGAGTTTTTTTTTGCGAATTGGTGAATTTTGAGTGAAGAACATCGCAGTTGTAGTGGAAATTTAGACGGTTTAGATCGCCGTACGCGATCTGCCAGTTACGAGATGTCTTCAAATGTAACGCCAGCTTACCACAAATGTTTAGCGTGTACAACTTACTTAAAAGATAAATGCCGTGCATTCTGTACATTTAGAATAAGTTTTGGACATGACTATTGCCAAACCACGTCGCCACTGAAATGCCTGCAGTATGCCCAGGGCTAGGGGCAATCGTGCTCGCTTCGCGGGATAAACCACATGCCTTCGTCCACGATTAGCTTATGCCACACAGACGAATGTCTCCGATGAACAGGCAATGTATCGTAGCATTTGTGGCATTTGAGTACATATGTGGCCACCGTTGTTGCGGGGCTGGGAGTTGGTACAAACATAGGTGCGATAAAATGAAAATGACTCCTCCAGGGTGAAGGGAATCACAGTGGCCGCAGCCCCTCTTGGGTGAAGGGTGTTTCACTTGATAGAGAAATTATATTTCGACCGGAAGGGGGGGAGCAATGACGTTCTCTCATCATTTTTCCTAATCAAAGTTTATACTTTTCAATTTCTTGCCATCACTGGTTGTCTTTTTTCTGAAATGTGAACCGATGCGCTGCTGGATTAGCACACAATTATATTTCTGACCAGCATCTTGTATTTTTTCAAACTTCCTTTTCCCTTTTTTACATCGCCCTGCCTGTTTTTGAAATTACCATAGAAGGTGTGCATGCGAAAACATTTGTTTTTGAAAGAGTTGGACAATGTTAAACATTTACGAATTTTTCAAAAGGAAACAGCAACTTCAGCAAGGGAAATGTCTTTGAAACCAATTTGTCCTTCTGCAGAGCATATTTAGTTTGCCCGGAGTCTCTTGAAAGAAGTGCCTGGTGAAGGGTGTGGGTAGCGATTTCTGGATATTCACGAGTTTTTAGGATTGAAAATCCGTAACTTCTGAAGATAAACAGATAGTACATGGAGATGGTTACTGTTGAAACCGCCTCGTCCTCCGCTTTCAATAGAAAATATGATTTTGCTTGGGGTTCTTTACAAAAAGTGCCGGGTGAAGGATGGGTGAGACCTTCATAATGGGTGTGCTCAAGTAAAGGTTTTTGTACCATTGTAAAAAAGCCTCTACTTGAGCACTCCCATTATAAAAGTCTCGCCCATCCTTCACCCGGCACTTTTTGTAGCGAACCTTAGGCAAAATACATATTTTCTGAAAGCGGAGGACGAGGCGGTTCCAATGGTGACCATCCGGACGTACAAGATGTTCATCTACAAAAGTTACAAAATTTTCTATGTTGAAAACTCGAAAATCTCCAAAAATCACTAAGACACCCTTCACCCAGATATTTTGTGGACATATCTCACACAAGCTTTATATAATATTTTCTGAAAGCGGAGGACGAGGCGGTTTCGATGGTCTGTTTCCTTGTACTAGCTCTCCTTCTACAAAATCTATAATTTTTTCATGTTGATAACTCCGGAAATCACTAAGCACAACTTTCATTAGGTACTTCTATGAACGGGCTCTAGGCAAACAATTTATACCCTGAAACCAGATGGGAACGTTGTACCACGAAACTTTCCTCGCTACTTGCTGTTCAGCTATAGAAGCTACTATTTTTTTCTTCCTGGAAGTTCATGAATGCCTATAAATCTTCTTCCCCGATGCACAAACAATTCCCGTACAAACATCTCCTTTACTTAACCTTACCCCACCGTTGATTTTTTCCTCGGCTTTTGGTAAAGGGGTCACCTTGGTGCTGGCTCAGGAGTGAAAGGGGGGTGAGCAATTCTCACACCATCGCACCATGGGTACAAAGAGGTTAATGAGGGTGCTGATCATGGATGAAAATTTACTTTATAGATTTTATCGATTTTTGGAGGTCTTAGCAGCGGGACTGGGAATTGGTGCAAGGGGGGGGGGGTAAATGAGGATGCTGATCAAAACCAGAACCTATTTTATCGATTTCAGCATTTTCGGAAAATTTTGAGCTAGGAGTTGGTATAGGGGATATGAGGGTGCTGATTATGAATGGATCGGCTTTAGCCAGATATGTCAGCAAGTTCGAGATACGGTTGCTCTAGTTATTCGATAAATCATTCGAATATTTATTCGAAATTCGGCTCCCAATGTTCGAATATAATCGATATTCATTCATTCGATATTTTTGAATCTCCAAATTTATTCGGAATTCATTCATTCGAGAATTTTTGAACCTCGAATTTATTCGATATTCGTTTATTCGAGATTTTTTATTTTCGAATTTATTGGATACTAGCTGGTGGCCCCGGTCTCACCCGAGACTTCAAGTTAGTTAAGCCAACAGAACTTGTAAACTTACGCCTCTATATTTCTTCCAACATGCGCGTAAAGCGCTTTCAGACTAAATGCCGCACCCATCAACTTTGAGACTGAAATGGACTTTACCGCCCCTGCATACATGCTTATATGTAAAAATGATCGCTTGCCATGATGGCCCTTCATTTTATAAGGTTTGAGTAAACAAATCGATAAATCGATAGAATGGCCCGGCGAATCGCAGCGGAAAGTAGCTCTAAACCACCGCCGGGGTCGAAAATATACGTGTGCGAAGTTTCAGCCGGATCGGTTCAGTGGCGCGCGTTTCTATAACGAACGAACAACTAAACGAACATCCTCACAGACATTGAGTTTTATATATATATAGATTCGTTTATTCGAATTTTTTCATTTTCGCATTTATTCGATATTCATTCATTCGATGAATATTTTCGAATTACCCAAGTATGTTCCACATGCTGGAAGTTCTTAACGTAATCCTACAGTAATGAAGAGGGATCGGTAGTTCGCTCATTATTGAGAGTCTCAGTTGAAGCCTCCTCTACAGAACGGTACTCGACTGGCAAAAAAAGCCCATCAAAGAGATGTTGATGATTGAAAAGAGTGTACTTACTTTTGGGACACCCTGTATATTATGTGGGCCCAAAAGTTCGTGCCACTTTTTAGAAAACAAATCGTTCAAATTCAAACGGTATCCGATGCAGAATTTTTTCATCTTTCCAGCAGTTATGTTTTTGAAGCGCTTTTCGTCGAGCGCTGAGATAATTGCCGGAAACTAGAACTCTTCATTTTTCCATGACTAAATTACGCTAATTTTCAGAATTTTCATTTTAAACTTTTGAACGTGCTCTAATAACCACCTGATAGTGCAAACCTTATGCAAATTAATGCAACTTTGCATCTCTCTGGCATGCTTTCTCGAAAAATATATTTTCCATTTCAACCTCGCAAAACATCGGACTTCGAACAGTTTAGGTATCATTCAATGCATCTTCTTCTCCTCTTCCTGACAGCTTCCTTTTCTTCGCGTAACATGCGACTTTTGCAAGCAAAAGTCGCTGTAATTCCCAGTTTTACTGGTGCGCAAGGTTGTAGTCGAAATTCCAAAACCTAACCATTCTCACGCCGTAATCGCTTATTTACTTCTTAGTACTATTGGGATTTCGCAACGTCTGGTGCAATCATGTGTCACGCGATTCTTTCGAAATTCAATGCTCTGAAATAATTCAGCAAAATTCTAAAGAGGAAAACTGGAAAATGCAAAAAATTGCATTACCTTGTACAAGGTTTCCCCTATTAGGTTTTATTACAGCACTTTCAAAAGTCTAAAATGAAGATTCTGAAAAATAGCGAAAGTTAGAAATGGTAAAAATAACAGGTTCTAATTTTGGACAATTACCTCAGCGCTCGTCAAAACAGTCACTTCAAAAACATAGCTGCTGGAAAGAGGAAGAAATCCTGCATCTGATACCGTTTAAACGAACTATCGTCATTGTGAACGATTTTAGAAAAGGTCTAAAAAACGGCACGAACTTTAGGACCCACTTAATACATCGTTTTTTGATAAAAAGCATAGCACCATTGAGTATTCCTGTATATAAAAATACAAACTTAATCTCTTTTCACTTACAAACTTTTCGTCGGCAGTTGTACATATCACCGCTCTACTCGTCAGATAAAGTTTTCTCACCACTTCGACAACCATGTGTATGTTATGTCTGTTGGGAACCAAGACCCCTTCAGAGACCTGCAGCATTTTTTTTTTGATAAAAAAAAACATACTGCGTTTTCTATAGTATACCTAAATAGTTCTCAGAACAGATATTTTATTCCCAGTTTTAGCGCAAAAAACTTGTAAAGTGGGCTTATTTTAATATTGCCGTTGTTTCAATGGATTTCCAGCCATGACTGTGGTGTTATGCGGTCCCACTCGGTATTCATTCTATGACATGACAGGTGTGTCATGCGCTCGTCAATATGTTAATAATTAGAGAATAGGTAGAATAAACATTGGATGAAATATTAGTAATATACAAAATGTTCCAAAAGATGTGCACACTGTTCAATCGTTAATCACTCTCTTGCTTTCACGTCTTTTGCCGAGTTTGAGGTATCATTCTGTAGAGCGAGGTTCAGCTTAGATTTATAGTATGGAGCGAATCACCAATCGCTCTTCATTACTGTATGATCACGGTATGAACTTTCAGCACACATCGTCATTATGGATTAGGCCTTTTGATGAAATAAATGCAAAAAATCTGAAAATTAGTGTAACAAGGATTTCAGGCGTATTTCTCTGCATAACTTTCCACCAGTTTTTTGAGCTTTCTTGGAGGCGTATTCACATTTCTGACGAACATTGGGAAAACAGTTGTTACCCCAAATCTGAGATAACTCATGAAAGAAGCCCTATACTGAAATGCAATTTTCATATTTAGAATAAGCTACTTTAGGCCAGTACAAGGGTTTCTGGCTTGTTTGATATCGTTTCAAGGCAAATCACTTTCGATGGCTCAAAATTCTCCTCGAAGTTCCTACCGTAATCTTACAGTAATGAAAAGCGATTGATAATTCGTTCCATACCATGAATCTAAGCTGAACTCGCTCTACAGAATGGTACCTCGAGCTCGGCAAAAGACATGAAAGCAGAAGAGTTATTACCCTATTTTCAGGTGTATAAGCCGCACCCTTTTTGCTCTAAACGCGAGCAGACCCAGGCGTGCCGCCGCGCATATGTCTCGCGGAGCGGTCGCCTTATCGCATATTGCTCTCACTTAACGCGCTCCGTGACGAGAGTGAGTCTTTTGGCGTGTTCGCCTTTAGAGTGAAAAAGGTGCGGCTTATACACCTGAAAATAGGGTAGCTTGTCCCATAAGTATTTTCAAATTGAGTTTTCGCTGTAATAAGTGCAACATTTCTTATTTTAAATGGACCAGGACAGCCTTCGATAGAGCAAAGCAAGCTCTACAAGATGGCATTTATGTTCTTGCACCAGATTCGATTCACCTTAAGTGTGAAACCAAGATCTAAAAAGTTTCGAATGCTCAGAAAATTGAAAATTTATCATATCTTAATTCAGAAAAATCCTGCTTTCTCACTCGCTCACACATATACACTCCATATTAGACACTTATATGTGCTGTTGCTGTCGTTTCTTATTAGCTAAAAATCAAGAAACCGAAAGTTTCCATGTTTTTACCAGGAGTGATGCTGTGTTCTTTTTATACTTAACAGCTGTATACTACGACTCCTTAGAAGCACAGCCGTAAATTTTCAGCTCTTTATAAGCTCTGGTCACCAAGAAATGTTGAGTTAAGCGTGAATAAGCTGAGTGAGAATTGCTAAATTCGATATTTCTCCTGAACTACAGCTTATAGAGAGCAGACAATTTACAATTGTACTTCTGAGAGCACGTAGTAAACGACCGTTAGTATAAGAAGAGCACAGCACCACTTTGATAAAAACATGGAAATTTTTGGTTTTTTGATTTCTAGCTAATGAAAAAAAGACGGCAACAGCACTTATGAGTGTCTAATATGGAGTGTATATCCGTGAGCGAGTGAGAGATCCGCAGGATTTTTCTGAATCAAGATATAAAACATTTTCAATTTTCTAGGCATCCGAAACTTTTTAGATTTTGGTTTTGAATTTAAGATGAATCGGAGCTGGTGCAAAAGCATAAATGCCATCTTATAGGGCTTGCTTTTGTCTATCGAACGGTATCCTGATGTCTTTTTAGAATGAGAAGTGCACGACTTATCACAGCAAAAACTCAAAAAAGAAAAGACTTATGGGACAACCTAATATTAACAATCAAACAGCGTGCACATCTCTTTGGGACACCCTGTATACTATATAACAGTACGTCACCTCTGCTTCGCAGAGGCTCAAAATGGTTCTTCTATCTATCTCACTCATTCTTTTGTAATGATGGCAGTAAAACTCACCGCGCAATGATGACTATCACAGATGAATCGCACAACTAATACTCATTCCAAAAGTTTTTTCATAAAAGGTCGGGCAATTTTGCGTGGATGAGACTTCTCGCAGATGAACAAATGTGTACCTGCGGGCTAGTGTATAGTGGTATTTTAAGGTTTACACCTTGATAACGGGACACACGAAGAGATTGAAAACAATGTATTTGCAAAACAAGCAGTAACAACGGCCCCAAGGCCAACAACGAACGAAAACAACAAGAGAAAACACGAAATCGGCGGGGGGGGGGGGATATCCCGATTTGTCCCTCCAGCAGGGCTTTACATGGTCACGGTTGGATCATTTCTCGTAAGTTTTCACGTGGGGAGGTCTAGCTCTCTCCTGACCAGTTTTCGACTCCCGCGAACCTGTTCTGCTCGCGCTCCCCTCTGTCTTCCCCTTTTATGCCCTGCTGCGAGGTCAAATCGGCCTCTTATTTTCCCGCCATCACATATTGTAGATCGGTGATCCTTTTCATGATTCTTGAAATTTCTATGGCTTGCTAGTTGTCATAAGGACAGTTATCGCCGTGAGCTATATCTACATGATGGGGCAAAAGTCTGGGAGCCGAATTTGCAGCATTGTAGATCACGGAACTACTGGTGTTTTGGATCCCAAATCTCTGCCAATATTACCTGCGTGCCAGTGGCCATTTGCGTCCAAAATAACTTCGAAAGCTATAAGAGTGCAGAAAGTACTGAATTTTGAACTATATCCTTCCATGCGTCTTCTATAAAAGCATTTATTTGAATTCGATCGATGGAGCAACTTCAAAACCATTTTAGATTATGATTTTTCGTCCCCTTCGCGTCATCGCATCCAAATCTCCAGTATGCGAACACTCTTACCTTCACTTGAAATCCCGAATTTTTTTACTCAATTACTTTATAACATACTGTAGCCGAAAGCTTACTCTATAATAATGCACATTTGCATATTGAAAGAAGCAGTTATCGTGAAGGCGTGGGACAAATTTCATCGACTTCCTGCGTGCCGCGACAAGCGGACTCGCCAAGATTTCGAGGGGTTACTTTGAAGCCAGAAGAGGCAGTCTTAGGTTTGAAAGCTACATTGTAATTGTAAAGGTTATTTATGTGCGCACCGAACTTTTCGTTTCTATGTACCTTCCCTATAATTTTACTCAAAAACGTGCTAGGCTCCCAGACTTTTGCCCCACCCTGTATGTGCAATGATCTTTTCAAATGCTCAGGTAAAGTCTTGAAAAACGGACCGTTCACAAAGTCAATTCTTTTTGGCGTCTATTGCGTAATGTAGTAGACTTTTGATCACTTTTTGGGCGGATATCTATGACTTGCACATTAACTGTCATTTAGGACCCAATGTTACCGGCCAGAAGTGGATCCGTTCAAACGCAATTCACAAACTCAACGGATCTGCTCTGATCTGCTTTTGCATGGTGGGCCTTCATGCTACAGTGCTGGTCATAGCTAAAAAGCCACCCAAATTTTCGCTGTTTCAAATCTATTTGGCGGCCGTTCTCGCCCAAAGTTGACACAGTCATAACTTTCGTCAAGGAAAACATTATGTCAAAATAGATTTATTCAGTCCAATGATTACTTCATAGAAAAGTGAAAAAATCTGAAAGTACACTTCTGGCTGGTCATAGCTATAAGGCCACCTAAAAATCACAAAGCCAATCCGAACAACAAAATTTTTCAATAGTCAATAGAGCTACCTCTCCGCGTAATAATCTCTATAAGACGCTTTGGGATGCTTTTGGTTAGGTTAGCAATGGCCGGGGGGGGGTATTCTTTCCCAAGCAGACAGAATCGCGGTTTTGTTCATTAACAGTCTCAAATTGCTTACCACCCCTGAAGATGTCGCGGACATTAATGCCCCACAAATTCTCAATGGGATTAAGGTCTGGTGAGCAAGCTGGCCAATCAAGAAGTTGTATATTATTGTCACGCAAGTAGTAGGGTTGCACGCACCACACCTATGAACCGAGGCATTGTCTTGCATAAAAACGTATCCTTCCTGCCAGTGCGGGACCAGATGACTACCTAACATCTCCACATACTCCGAACTGTCCATTTTATGATGAATGCAAGAGGGAGGGTTCCTGATGACTCGAAAGCGCCCCATACCATTACATTGCCTCCGCCGAAATTACGCTTGCTGAAATGACGAGGCTCCTTGCGTAGATCATGCCAGTAATAAGAGAAACCGTGGGCCCGTCCAAGTTGAATTTCTTCTTATCCGACCAAACAATCTGAATAGAAAATCTTTAGAAAATGGGGTTGAACTAATAGCGAAAGCGGTACCCTGTTCCAGTCAAGCGGATGCATAAGCTTCTCTTCCGCAAATGCGAGGCGCTGCTGCTTGTAAAGTACTGTGAGCTTTGGACACGGAGTCATTTCAGCTCTAACAATGTTTCCGCTTCGTTCTAGCACTCTTCCAACTGTGCGAGCTGAGCATCCAAGCTTTAAAGTCTTCTGAATTTGGGACGAGCTGACAGTCGAATTAGATGCAGATCGAGTTATAAGCCTTTTTTCTCGAGCGCTGACCGCTGTCGGAGGCCCAGTAAAGAGAACTCTTCCATAGTCACGTGGATTTGCTATATAGTTGCTGACAACCGTACGGCTTCTTCCGATTTCTACGGCGATGCGACGAATGGGCCAATTCAATAAGTGGAGGGCCGTGATGCGTCCCTTTTCATGATCCGATAGAAATTGATCACGCGGCATAACTCGCACTTAACGATGTATCCGTACGAAAATTACCGGGAGCAAAAGAGACTTGTAAATGCTTAGATCACAAGGTGGCCTTATAGCTATGACCAACCTTTATTTTGCGATTTTTGGATTTTTGCTGTATTTTTCTTTCAATTGGTTTAAATCCATTATGTTTTGGGTATGTGAAGGATCGATGTTAAACACACGTTCCTTCAGAATTTTGGATTTATCTGTTGAGTACAAAGCGAGATAGAGCCATATCTAGAGTTCTTTATAACTATGATCAGCACTGTAGTGACGTGCGCTATGCAAAATTTGGGCTCAGGACATTGGCTGGAACACGCTCCATGAAGTTTGTAATAGACAGACAGGCACACATGTACCCGAGGATTGAGACACTTCAATGTTTTTCAATCTTACCTCAGCCTTGGTACTCGCTGACATACGCGCTTTTAGTACTGAGAATTGTTCGTAAAGTGGTAGCTTTACTTTAGGCCCAACTTTCAAAGCTTCATCGTTGGACTTCGAAATTTATAAAAACATCTCCACTCAAGAGCTTCTCCACTTTTTTCAGCGGTACCATCCCCTTGTACTATTCGCAAACCTCGCTGAGTTTAAAACCTTTGATTAGCGTACCCCCAACTCGCTTCTATATAAGAGCGAGCAATAAGAGCATTTTTTGCTAAGAGCAGGGGGGATGAGACAGACTCCATTAAACCTCTATACCTGTGATGACTTCATATACGTCTAAACAAGCTCACTCCCTTTCCATTCCCAGAAAGATTATGCGGACTGGACTTGAACTGATTCAGTGGGGAGTTTGCCTTTTTGTTTTATTTTTTGTTGTTGTTGGTTGTTTGGTGTGATGCTTCGTTCTTCTGTTGTATGGGCGCGTCTTGTGCGTATTAAATAAATAAATAAATAAATATACGGTGGCTCCAAATCTACCTTCACTATCTGCCAAGCGCCTCTGGATGCCGGGTTATGATTGTTTTTTAGAACGAAAAATGAACGCAGAATTTAGCTAAAATGATACAATCTTTCCAGCGCTCAGATAAAGCAGTGCTAAGTATTAACGTATTAGACAAAATGTATCCATTGCATAAGCGGCTCTGACACTCGACACTGGCCCATTTGAGCAAATTTAGGCAATTTTGCTCCAGTTTCTCGTTCAATTTCTTGACCCGAAAAACGCCCATAACTCGGCGCCCAGAGGCGCTTGGCAGATAATGAAGGCAGATATGGAATCACTGTGCAATACTCTCTAAAGCAGTATAGGTCTAATCTGAAAAAAGCCACTTCGGCTATACACGCTTCCCTTGTAAGTTGTAAAATTTGATGCCACTAGTGAAATGAGACTTGTGCAACTGGAACAGCGAAAGGTGTAGTAGGATAATTGTAGGTTACAATATCGCTCATAATTCGTCAAAAAAGTCGCCGGACTGCGGCGCACTCCACCGGAGTGCGCTTCAGTGCGCCGGAGCGCGGCAGAGTGCGCCACCATCACTAGAATCCATCGTCGTCATCGTCGGAATCCGCGTCGCGTCGCCATATCTCGCTTCAGAATGGACGAATTCTAATTCCGAGGACATCGTTCGTTTCAGCTCGGCGAGATGCATCATCAGGTATGTAGAAGTGCCACAATCTAGTCTAGCAGGACAGGATATGATAGGTATACGCTAGACAGTAAGTTTTCGCTCAATTTTGCAGATTTTTGTTTGGTTCAATTGCTCAGTGTTCTGATAACAATACGTCATTGATTTGTCGCTGATGACACATAGAAAGTATACTATAGGAGTATGGTAGAGAGTCACTCTGATCGAATTTGTTCTAAAATCTGCTCAAGATCACATACCGCTCACAGAATGTGCAAAATTTCCGTGAACTTCGCGGTTTTTCGGGATTTCCGCCAGAGTCCGCGATAATCTGGGAAGTTCACGACATATCAGGATCCGCGAAACCATGCGAATCACGCAGAGAACGCAACGCCATAACATCCTTCGGAATGAATATATTCTAAATCCGGAAGCAGCATTGTGTTCAGGGGCAAATCGTCGAGGCAAATCTTTTGATGTGCAGCATGTTCTCGATACCGTTCCCAGTTTTCTCGAATTTTTTCTGTGGAGGTTTCGCATGGATGTAACGCAGCGTCTGTGTAACATAAAAAAATCCAGTAAGCACTATTCGATAGTACTGTTCTTGTAGGTTATCGTGTTCAAAAGTAGCTCCAGAGTCTTCCAGAAGAGATAGAAGCGCTGGTGAATTTTGGAAAAATCACGCTTTTCTAAATTCTACTCGCCGTAGTTTCCTTCGGAATGAATATATTCTGATTCCGAAGAAAGCGTTGTGCTCAGTTCATTAAGGCTCATCTTTCGTTTTACAGCATGTCCTTAATATTTCGTTTTCAGTATTCTCAAATCTTTCTGTGGAAGTCTTTTCGCAAAGGTGTAAAGCAGCGCACATTGCCCCTAGTAGACTGAAACAAGGACCCTTCGATAGTACTTATTCAGTATGTTATGGAGCGCTAAAAAGTAGTCACAGGCGTCTTTCCAATGGAGATAGAAGGGTTGGTAAGTTGTAAAAAAATCTTGTTGTCCAAATTCTACTCATAACCCGAGAATACGAAGCTATCTTGCTAAGCAGATATGGGTTTTGTAGTCAGCAAGTCGGATAACCCCTGCGAGGAAGTTTCAGAAAACTTCAAATTATTTGATTTTTGTCTCGTTTCATGCTCTCAAGCTCGCCAGTGGGTTTTGGTCGAAATGCTGATGATCTTGGTTTGGAAGGAAGCTCATAGAGGTCTTCGAACAGCTCTTTACGAAAATCGCGGTTTTTGAGGATTACAGGGTTTTTTGCAGAGATATGGTGAGGTAACTGTAACGGAGTCACGAAAGCTTGTATTTCGCCTGCACCTCTCGCGTATTATCTGTCAGGAAACCTGCCTGACTGCTTATAAAGGTTAAAGTTATTAGGAAGTGTGCCATCGAATGGTGCATGTCCCAAGCTCTAGTATATGAAAATCGCCGAGTTACAAGCCTAAGAAAACACGTCTTCATGCATTTTGTTCAAAATGTAAAGATCGCATACTTTGTCGAAATTCCACCGTGACTGGTTGTATAAAACGCTGATCGAACCTGTACACATCGCTCAATGGATCTTCATGTGGATTTGATAGTTAGATAGATTTGAGCGCTAACCACGAAGCTGATTCGACTAAGCAGCTGAAACACACTCAAACACCATATTCAGTACAGTGGGGTCCCTTGGAAAAAGTGAACATTATACTTGCATTCAGATTGTCATAACCAGTCACGGTGGAATTTCGACAAAGTATGCGATCTTTACATTTTGAACAATATGCATGAAGACGTGTTTTCTTAGGCTTGTAACTCGGCGATTTTCATATACTGGAGCTTGAGACATGCACCATTCGATGGCACACTTCCTAATAACTTTAACCTTTGTAAGCAGTCAGGCAGGTTTTCTGACAGATAATACGCGAGAGGTGCAGGCGAAATACAAGCTTTCGTGACTCCGTTACAGTTACCTCACCATATCTCTGCAAAAAACCCTGTAATCCTCAAAGACCGCGATTTTCGTAAAGAGCTGTTCGAAGACCTCTATGAGCTTCCTTCCAAACCAAGATCATCAGCATTTCGACCAAAACCCACTGGCGAGCTTGAGAGCATGAAACGAGACAAAAATCAAATAATTTGAAGTTTTCTGAAACTTGCTCGCAGGGGTTATCCGACTTGCTGACTACAAAACCCATATCTGCTTAGCAAGATAGCTTCGTATTCTAGGGTTACGAGTAGAATTTGGACAACAAGATTTTTTTACAATTTAAACCCTTCTATCTCCATTGGAAAGACGCCTGTGACTACTTTTTAGCGCTCCATAACATACTGAATAAGTACTATCGAAGGGTCCTTGTTGCAGTCTACTAGGGGCAATGCGCGCTGCTTTACACCTTTGCGAAAAGACTTCCATAGAAAGATTTGAGAATATTGAAAACGAAATATTAAGGACATGCTGTAAAACGAAAGATGAGCCTTAATGAACTGAGCACAACGCTTTTTTCGGAATCAGAATATATTCATTCCGAAGGAAACTACGGCGAGTAGAATTTAGAAAAGCGTGATTTTTCCAAAATTCACCAGCGCTTCTATCTCTTCTGGAAGACTCTGGAGCTACTTTTGAACACGATAACCACAAGAACAGTACTATCGAATAGTGCTTACTGGATTTTTTTATGTTACACAGACGCTGCGTTACATCCATGCGAAACCTCCACAGAAAAAATTCGAGAAAACTGGGAACGGAGTATCGAGAACATGCTGCACATCAAAAGATTTGCCTCGACGATCTGAACACAATGCTGCTTCCGGATTTAGAATATATTTATTCCGAAAAAAGTTATGGCGTTGCGTATTCTGCCTGATTCTCATGATTCCCCGGGTCCTGGAATGTCGCGAACTTCCCAGATTATCGCGGACTCTGGCGGAAATCCCGAAATTCCGCGAAGTTCACGGAAATGTTGCACAATCTGTGAGCTGTATGTGATCTTGAGCAGATTTTAGAACAAATTCGATCAGAGTGACTCTCTACCATACTCCTATAGTATACTTTCTATGTGTCATCAGCGACAAATCAATGACGTATTGTTATCAGAACACTGTGCAATTGAACCAAAAAAAATCTGCGAAATTGAGCGAAAACTTACTGTCTAGCGTATACCTATTATATCCTGCTAGATTGTGGCACTTCTACATACCTGATGATGCGTCTCGCCGAGCTGAAACGAACGATGTCCTCGGAATTAGAATTCGTCCATTATGAAGCGAGATATGGCGACGCGGCGCGAATTCCGACGGACTCTAGTGATGTGCGGCGCACTCCACTGCTCTCCGGCGGACTTTAGTGGAGTGTGGCGTACTATGCCGCACTCCGGCGCACTGCAGCGCACTCCGGCGGAGTGCGCCGCAGTCCGACGACTTTTTTGACGAATTATG